CTTTGGTTCCACTGTGAAGCAGAGAGAAGGAGAGGAGAGAGGGGAGAGAGAACAATGACCAGGAGCAGGGACAAAATACCCACTTCAAAGGCAGGCCCTCCGTAACCTGCTTCCTCTCTGTAGGCCCCACCTGCTAGCATTTCCACCATCTCCCAATAGCGTCACCAGCTGGGGACCAAGACTTCAACACATGAGGAGTTTGGGGAGGACATTTAAGATTCAAACCATAACAAATGAGAATTTAGATGTTACTGCAAGTTTTGGTTTTACACCATGGCTCACTTTTAAAGAACCTATTCTCCAATTCAGTGAGATTTGACTACGCCTTTGAGAATCCACTTTATTCTTGTTGTCAGTTCTTAGCTAAAGTAGCCAGACTCGGTGGAACCCAGGGACCACAGAGATGAGAAATACCAAGTAGGAATGGATTTCCTGGGAAGAGAATGTACCTACCCAAATAAATCAGAGGGGTAGATTCTGTTACTCAGATATGGCCTGGAACCAGAGAGCCCCTGTATGTCAGAAGGAAATTAAAAGTTTGTGTTTAGATAATGACAGTGGATAGTTTATGGATGAGGTGACAAACTCAGGAACTAGTTGGATTAGAGTGGGTGTTTGGGTGGGTCTGGTTTGGAAAGACAACATTGGAAAGTAGAGCTGTGTTCTCCACCTGATCAGACACGGTGCAGGCAGACAAAGGGATTGTGACAAAACTAGCTTTTAACCATGTTAATCCACCAGTGGCTCTTCAGTCTAGCCGCTTAGTGGAGAATCTCTGACACTTAATTTTACGAGAGTCGAGTGTTTCTTTAGGCTACACTCCCTATTGTCATCTGACAATCTCAGGCTGTCCTCAGATGCTGGTAACTGCGTCAGCTTGCTTCAGAAGGCACTAATTACAACTTTGCCTGGAAAGCTCTTCTTACCTAGATAAAATATAAAACAGCTTTCAGCCAGTATATAAACACAATGTTTAATTTCCGAGACTTGAAGTACTTGTGTCTTATTGACGACCCTTGCCCCATCTTCACTGGTAAATGTGCTTTGATGTTGTGGAGTGTACCCAAAGGAAATAGTTTAAAAGTGGCTCTGATGGAAATAGTGGATAAGTTAATTGTGAGTCAGTTTAGACTTTTTGGAATGACTCAAACAGATAGGATTATAGACAATCAGCCTGGGTCAGGTTGAATTTTCACAGCCCAGTTGTCCTCGTTTTTTAATTATCTGTTTTTTCTCATTTTCTGGAAAATCATAATGAAATTGTATCTGTGGACCTCAGGGTTTGGGGGCAAGGGAGGCTGAGTGGTTTGAGTGGTAAATGTCTCATCCCCTCTGCAATGTCTGAAGTGCTTAACAAACTTGTGAACTGAAAAAATTCTGGTGTGCTGTGCTAAACATAAAATTACAAAGCCCTTTAAATTAGATAAAAAAGAATAGAAATTGTAGCAACTGTCAAAAAAATTTTTTTTGTCCAAGCTGTTTTTAATTGAAAATATTTAGGATAAGTTTAAAGTTTTCTTTCAAATTATCTTTAAAATTATATCATTTTTCAAATTCAGAAAACAGATAAAGGATCAGAAAATTTCTCAGTATGGGTGCGTAATTTAGCTAGTTTATTGTGACAATCACTGGCAAAGCAGTTAAATTAAATGACATCTTCAAAAGGTGAAAGGTAATCTTGGCCATAAATATATATTATGTGCAAAGAAAATATGAAAGTTAAAATAGAAAAAATAAATGTCTAGATTTAAATTTCAAAATACAGATAAACTGAGTAAGACTTTGTATTAGAACTAAAAGGCCACGCTTCTAGGAAATGGCTATCAAGTTATTGTGAAGAGGCTCTCATGTTCAGCTATTCCTCTTAGATTCTACTGTGCAGAGACTTGGTATATATTCAGGATAGATGTGGGAAGGTGGGTGCTTCCTCGCTCTTTCACAAGCAGCATTCCAACAGAAAGGTCTGTGCCATAATTATTGTCCATGTGATTATTTGCCTCAAGATTTAAGCCTATAGCTCTGGAAACTGCTATCAATACTGTAAAAATAATAACATTGTGAATATGTACATGTCACTTATTTTCACCATGTTTTAAATTTTTACTGTACATTTGCTAGAAAAAATGACTTAGAATTTGCGTAATTGTGGTAACTAGGAAAAACTATTGGGATCTGATGTTTCTCAAATCAACAGGAAGGTCAAAATGGATGTTGTCACTGTTCATAGCATACTTGGTTTGAAATATCAGGTTTTAATGTTTTAGAGTTATTTCATATATTTCAGTGGTTTTTAATGTTATCACTAAAATGCTACCTAATTAATACATGTATGCAATCTATAAAAATTCACTGAGTGCCACAAATTCTCCTGCTGCTATATTTATTTATAGCAATGTACACTGCTTAATGTGTGCTTTATTTGAAAAGCATTTTTGTAAATGTTTGCTATTCATGCTTTGTCTTTGAGGACAGCCACAATCTCGTACCATCATTCAGTAGAAGAGATCATCAAGGCAATTAGTTTAAAAGTGTTTCTCCATAAACCAGAAGAGTTAAATTATGGGTAAGATTGCTTGTCATTTATTTTAGGTGAGGTTCTGCAGAAACAAAACTGAGACAGCGGTTCCTAGAACAAAAGGCTTGTTGGAGGCTGCTCTCCAGAGAAGTTTTGGGAAAGAGGCAGAATGGAGAAGGGACAGTGCACTAAGCAGGGAGGAGATCTCAGTGGAGACTGATATCACTTCCAGTAGTTGGTTCCACCTGGAAGCAAGTGTCTGTTGCATGGTGGCCCTGGAGAGAGGGTGGGAGAATGACCTTTGGATTGAAGAAGTTCCCAATTGGCCCAGCACAATTCTATATAGAAGGGAGGGGCATCTATGAGTTATCAACAAGACTCACATCTTGGTGATAGAAATTAAGACTAATAAAATAACTCTGGCTTATAAAACCATCAGCCTCATTATATAGATGAATGGCAATTTAAAAGAACAAGAAACTTTAGGTCCCATCACTTTCCCCACACACATTCATATTTTTTACTAAATAAAGGTGGAAATTCAAACTGTGTCCAAAGCCCTTTGATTACAAGAAATTTAAAAAAATTAATGAAGGAAAGAACTGTAGTTCTAGTCTTTTTGTTATTGTTACTTATGTATTGGAGAATTTACCTAGCTAATTTTGTTCTTAAAATGCTTTATGTTACCATGAATGAAAATGAGTTCTTTGAGAGAGAACCTTCGATAATGTCTATGAAAACCTGAGAGTGTTTGAAGGGCCAACTGTACTCAGCCAGCCTTTCTCCTAGCTTAATTTTCCTGCTTTAAATGATTTATTTGCACAACCCTTTGACTGTGTGTGCAGAGCTACTTCAGATCGAACCGAAATACATGGTGTATTCACTGAATGGATTCAACTCAAAGCCTTTCTTTTCATTAGATTATTTCACATTGAAGACTTGTAGAGTATTTTTCCTGGTAGTATACCTCCAATCCTTTTACTTTTCCCCATCATAGATCAGATAGACAAGATTTCCTTCTTTGAAAAAAGAACTTTTTCTCTTTTTTTCCACTACACTTGATCTTAGCCAAAAGGCCGAGAAGCGATTCTTTTTTTCCACTTAATACAATGAAATACTTTATAGAAACTAGGAAACCTTACATTAAGACAGTGGAATTCCCATTGGTGTCACTGATTTAAAATGTGTTTATTTTGTTTTAAACTTTCAAATATTTTTTCAGAAGCATAAAGACATGAAATTTTTTGAGTTGCACAATTAATTTGAAAGTGTAATAACCATCAATATAGTAGAAATAAACAATGACATGTCCTCATCTGGGACCAAAGAAATATTTGTGGCTAATAATATTCCCTCTGATTGCATCTGTATTTGATTATTCTACTGTCTTAAACAGGAATAATAATATGCAAATAAACTCAGAATACAAAGAGGCATTATTTCAGTTTAGAATTCAAGCTGTTAATGCCACATTTCACTTTGCATAGGACTTTGCTAATACTTATATATGTGTCAATGCATACGATATTCTGAAAGAACTGAGCATTTTGGAGCTGCATGGACATGTGACTGGGAAGGCAACTTGCAGGGATCCAGTTTACAGACGCGTTCTTCAGTGATCTGAAACATCACCATTGGTTATCCTTTCATACCAATGTTTAGTATTACTTCCACAAAGCAAGGACTTCAGAGTATAAAGTAAAAGATAGTTTTAGACTTTTCTTTGAAGCCAAACCTTAAGAACAGTAGGTGCCTTCTTCAGGTTATCTTTGTTTTCCTTTATGTAACTGTTCATCCAACTGTCTACATTTGTATTTCTCTCCAGCCTAGATATAGGAACTTTGTTGAATAAGAAAAAAAACCCAACCCTATAAAACCTGTTTTCATTATAATCTATTTTCAATGTTTGTTTATTTTATTAATTGGTCATATTTTTTAAGTCATGTTGCTAGGCACGGTAGAATAAATATTTTTAAAAATAATTTTTCATGAGCTGCTTCATATTATGCCTGCTACTCATAAAAATACCAGATAAGTAGGGTCAGGGATTTAGCTCAGCGGTTCTACCACCTGCCTTGCAAGCATGAGGACCAGAGTTTGATCCCCAGTACCAAAAAAGAAAATACCAAATGAATGATTGAAAGAACTATTGTATTAGAGTTTAGAAACTTTTCAGTAATAGACATTAGTTTTTAAAAATTCCTTTTTTATGTAATTATTGTAAGTTGCAATAATGCCCATGAAAACCTGAAAGTTTGAAGGGCCAACTGCGTTCAGCCGGCCTTTCTCCTGGCTTAATTTTCCTGTTTGAAACGCTTTATTTGCACAATCCTTTGACTGTCTGTGTGTGCAGAACTACAGAGAGAACTGAAATACTTGGCTCATTCACTGAATGGATTTTTTTTGCAAATAGTTTGAACGATTTGATCTCCCTTAAACTCCACAATTCCTCTACTATATATTGTGTCATTTTTGTTGCCATCAGAAACTTCCAACTAAGTGAAGAAGATCACTGGATTTACCAGGCTGTTTTAGATCAATATCCTGGAGATCTTGTTGGCAGAAGAACTCTGTATCTGGACATGTTACAAAGATATTTTCCTCACAAATCTAGGCATGATTTGGTGAGTGCTAAATCCTTCCTTCATCCTGGCAGGTTGAATTGTTTTAGCAGTCAACAATTGCTGGCTATGCACTTTTGTAATTGTTTTAAATATAGCAAATTAAAACAATCATGTGTATAGGAGTTTCAGTGTCATCCCATAGAAACTCGTTCAGCATGCATAACAGTGGGTGAGAGAAATGCTATTATTATCTTTCATTTCCAAAGAAGAAACAGAAGCAAAGTTCATAGAGCTACTGTGACCATCCTTGCCCCATATTTTTTATTCTCCCAAACCCCCAACAAGTATTCATTTCGATTATGGTCTCTAATTGATACCTGTTATGTAATAAATAATTCACTCTAGAATTTAAAAAATTGTCAATTTATTGAATCAGAGTTTTCTCTTTGTTCCCTATCAATTCATTTGCTTCTGCAACTAGGTATCATCATGAACTTTGCAGATTTTTGTTCTCCTACTATAATTAGCATGATAGAGTTTTCTATTTACTTTCTATATTGGATTGATTAGTATGTATTTCTGCATGGTATATGCTTCTTTTCTTGATGCTTACAAATATTAAGTATATTTATGGCTTTATGGAACAAAGCTAAGAAATGTACAGAACAGATTCTAGCAGTTGATACCTGGTTTAAGTGAGAGTGTAGTCTGTTTCATCAGGTATGTAATCAATCATACCTAAAGTATTACATTAGGTGGGGCATGCTTTATCTTGCTTGCTAGCTTCCTTTCTCACACCATTAAGGGATTAAATAATATGTGAAGCTCGAAGATGTGGAAGACACACTTTTGCATGAGGAGCTTTTCAGAATCACCTGTGGAGATTTTTCAAAGTAGTCAGGCTCTCTTCATTCCTATCCTTCCCCGCAAGGTTCCAATACTTCCCGTGTTGGAGAGTCATTGCTGTAAGGAGCTCCTCCTACTGTACTAATATGTGAGTGTCGTGTCCTTCAAGAGTGTATGGTGGGAAGGGCTAGATGTCACTACTGTACTTTCCTTAAATTTAAGAATCTGAGAATTCTAATAGTTAAGGATAAAACTGAATTTTCAGGATTATTACAGCAATTTAAAATTTTTATTGGCATGTTGTCTAACTGGAACACTAGATGCGATTGTCAAAACTGATTTAGGCATGGTGTGTTGAAAAACATGATATTTTGGGAGAAATGTTGCTTTCTATTCTTTGAAGCACTGCTGTTAAGAAGTGGAAGTTGTTTTAGAGGCCACTTGATCTGACTCCATTTTCCTTTAGGAAACGGAGAACTTACATACATTAGATAACATTCTCAGTTACCAGTTAGCTGCGCTCTCTAAAAGCTGAAGCTAGTACTTGGCTATTGTGTTTGCTATTAAGATGTTTATGTTCAGTTTTTCAAAATCATTAGTTATAATTAATGTTATTTATTTGTACAACTGTGACATAAAATATAGACCCATTTTCACATTGATAAATGTTCACCACTTGTTATCTTTTCAGGTAGAGCATGAGAAATATTGTGACCAATATCACTTTGCTAAGGAGCAGGAAAGGATCTTGATTGAAAATTGGAATAAGAACAGGAAAGACTTTATACAGAAGGCAATGCTGACCCTCCTTGAGGCCTGTGCCACTTATGAAATGGAAAGCACATTGGCAAAGGACAGGAAAAAGCAACAGGAACTGTGTGCTGATCTGAAAGCCAAGGTAAGATGTTTCTTGGGTCTTTTGCTATTTGTCTAGGTATTCATTTAAGAACTTGCTTTTCCTTTTGTTTAAATCCAACCTGCAGTTCAGTTTCTCCAAAAAGTCCATTTTGAATACAACTGTTTGCTTAAACCACATAAAATTACAATCCTTTAGACCCAAATTATTTAACAATCAACAGTTTCATAAGGTTTAACCCAAAGTTATTATAACAGAATGTTAACATTGAAAAGTTTTTGGCTTTTAAAAAATTTCATGAAAAAATTGAACAAACTTTCTTAACAAAATAATAAGAGAATAACAATAGTTAATACATGGTGTATTATTTTCTTCAAAGTAGTTTGTACATTGATGTTTGATGGAGATGTTCAACACCCATTATACAGGCTGCAGGCCAGAGTTAGATGCTGTGTGCCATTGCAGAACATAATTGTAGAGTAACTAATTCTGCCTCAAGCAGGTACTGATAAAAGTAATTGTAAAAGGCTCTTGGAGTTATGAAAAAGGGAAAGGATTCATGTGAAGGCGTGTTAGAGCAAGCTTGCTGAGCTGTGTATGAGCCTCAGCAAGGTGCAGGGGAGTAGATGGGGTTTTCCTTCTTCCTAGACCAAGGAAAGGGGGCCTTTCAGGTAACCCTTAGTTGGAAGGATTGAGGGCAGGTGTCCAATGTTTGTGGGGAAAACAGAGGAGCCGCCTCAGCAGCAGATGAGAGCATGAGCAGCAGCTGTTCTGGGAGTGCTGCTGTCCCCAGACTGGCCACAGGTGCTGGAATCCTGGAGGTCTGATTCTCCTTAGGAGTGTTTGCAGGGTTCGTTAAAACAACTGGTGTTGAGCTACGGCAGAAAGTGCACAGTAAAATGCTGTCTTGGTTTAATAATAAATGATGTGATAGGAGAATGATGGCACAAGAAATTTTGTTCTCTTGATAGAAAAAAAACCTGGCAGACATGATGTAGCAATTATGTATGTATGTAAAAGTAAATGTCCCTGTTTTAAAAGGTGAAGGGAAAACTGCTTGCTCTATATGCTTTTTTAAAGTTATTTCTTTGCACGTCTCATAAGTTTGGGGCCTACAAGGAACAGAAGTTGCATTGAAGCTGATCTTACTGTAGGCTACAGAACTACTGCATGTTTCTTCTTCATTGTAGACTGATAGGAAACACAGGGTCAGTGGTCATAGCAAGTTCTTTTACTCTTGTCAGTTTTTACTCAGTTTGTAAATGTTATCATTAACCCTTGAGCTATTCTGCAAGTGTATATTCTTTGTATTGTATTGGGTTTCGCTGTGTTGTGTTGTAATCATATGTGTAATACAGTGCACAGTACATAAATTTGCTATTACATGAAGTTTTGCTTATATACCACCCATGTAAACACCATGGAGGTTAAAAATATAGGATGTTTTCTGCAGTTCAGAAGGTTTTCTCATGACTCTTCTCAGTAATACTACCCTCACCTGAAACCACTCTTCTGACTTCATCATAGATGAGTTTTATCTGTCCTAGAACTTGATGTAAATCAAATCATACAGCATAACTCCTTTATGCTTCTTGTGCTCATCATATCTGTTTCATTGCATGCTACCATCATGTATTCTTTTCATTCTTGTGTCGTATCTCATCATTTATATATAACAAAATTTATGTTTTCCTATTACTGGAAATTTTCATTGTTACCAGATTTTTGCTATTATGATAGTGGTCCTATGGGCATTCTTTGGTGTGTCTTTTTATTAGGCATATGCACTCATCTCCACTGGATAAATGCACAGGAGCAGATCTATCCCTGATGGATCATAAGGGCTAGGTTTTTTTTTTCTTTTCTTTTTATTGAGTTTATTGGTACAATCTAGGTATACAATACAGTTACATTCATTACTGGGATCCTGTACCTTCACATGATAGGGTCTTGGTTCTCATTTTTTGGGTTAGCTGTTTTTAAGTGTAGTAAATATTGCCAGAATAAGTTTCCCAAAGTGGTTATGTACATTTCAGCCAGTTTCAGTTGCTCTACATTTCAGCAACTTTGCTATTGTGAATACTTAATTTTAACTAATCTGACGGCTGAGTAGTGATACCTCATTATGTTTTCATTTGCATTTAGAATAATGACTTTGGGCATCTTTTCTTTCTTTCTTTTCTTTCTTTTTTGGTACCGGGAGTCAAACTCAGGACCTTCCGCTTGCGAGGCAGATGGTGGAACCACTGAGCTAAATCCCTGGCCCCATTACTATCCTATTGCATATCCTCTTTTGAGAAATGTCCATTCTAGTCTTTTGCCCATTTTCCTCTTGGGTTTTCTTTCTTTTTTTTTTTTCTTTTTTTGGTACCGGGGATTGAACTCGGGTCCTTGAGCTTGCAAGGCAGGCCACTGAACCGCTGAGCTAAATCCTCAGCTCTGGGTTTTCTTTTTTTTTTTTCTTTTTTTGGTCCCGGGGATTGAGCTCGGGTCCTTGAGCTTGCAAGGCAGGCCACTGAACCGCTGAGCTAAATCCTCAGCTCTGGGTTTTCTTTTTTTTTTTTCTTTTTTTGGTACCGGGGATTGAACTCGGGTCCTTGAGCTTGCAAGGCAGGCCACTGAACCGCTGAGCTAAATCCTCAGCTCTGGGTTTTCTTTTTTCTCATACATTTGTATGTTCTTTACATATTATGTGTACAAGTTCTACAACTTTTTGTTTTCTCCCAGTCAATGTTTTGCAACTTCACTCTTGATGTTTTTAGATGAACAAAATTTAATTTTAATTAAGCGTTGTCTTTTAGTTTTAAATATCTTTGAGATATGTTATATACAGCAAAGTACCCTTTTAGTGTATAGTTCTATGAGTTTTGCAAATGCATGTAACTCCTACTATGGTCAAGATATAGAATGATTCCATTACCCCTCCAAACTCTTCATACCCTTATTATAGTCAACCTTATACCCACTTCTAGCTTTTTGCAACTGCTGATCTGTTTTTTGCTCCCTATTCTTTCACTTATGTTAAAAATGTCATATAAATATAACCATACTGATGATAGGGATTTCAGTCTGATTTTCTTCACTTGGTACAATGCATGTAAGATCCATTCATATTCTTATTTGGACTGATATTTGGCTTTAGTTTATTGTGGAGTAGTTAGCATTTGATGACATGGATACTGTGTATCACAGCGTATCCACTCCCGAGTTGTGTTTGAATTTGGCAATTAGTGTTGCTTTGCTTATGGCAGCATGGGCTTAGTTTCCTGGTGAACCCCGGCCTGTGTCTCTTGCACATGCCTGCTCTTTCCTCCTCACTAGATTGTCACTAGACATTTGACAGAAGGGAAGAGGCATTCTGTTTCCTCTAATATCCTGGTGTAGCCTATATCCTGGATTGGGGCTCAGTGGTCCTACTCTCATTTCCCACAGCAGACAAACTTGGCTTCATGCCTTCTCTTGTGAAGGAGGCATTTTCCTGGCCCTTCCCCAGGAGCAGGTATGTTTCTCCTTTTCTTTTCCTTTCTGCAAGGGATCTATGTGCCCTATGGGTTTGCTGCCCCCACCCCTCCCCCTTCATTCTATAGTGTTTCATTCTGTAGGGCTTTGATCTCTTTCTCTCTTAGATACACACTGCCACTGCAAATTGGCTCTGCCTCCTACCCTGGCTGAAAATTTTCTTGTGAGCACTCTGAAATCTGTGGAGAAAAGCCAGTGAATGTGTGCAAATTGCCCTATGTAATTTCTAGAGGTTCCACATTCTCATGCTCTATCAAATTACCAAAATGTGAAGATCATTAACGTTTATCAATCTGTATCAATCCATTACAAAGCTTTAGCTGCAGTCCTCCTACCCATTTCATGGGTGTGTGTGGGGAGCTTGTTTTCCCCAGATGCTCTGGCATAGACAAATGCATCTTTGCCATTGTCTCTCCTTGGGCACATGTCTTTTTCCTTAACTTTTGGGCTGCTTTGTGGCCCCTTTACCTCTGCTCTCTGATGAGCTCAAGAAAAGTCCTGACACAGGGGATTCTGTTTTTCACCTTTTTGCTTTTAAAGTGGGAGTGACATTCTTCCCAACTTTTTTGTACCTAAATGGAAGCTGAAAAATCCTAATGAATATTACTCAATAATTTTTAGGTGTCGTATAAGGAAATTGTTGGATAGTGGAGAGGGGTCTTGCCAAAGGCAGATGGACCCAAGGGCCAAACATTGGGATGGGACAATAAATGGAAAACTGATAGGTGGGAGAGAAGTGGCTAGTCAGAGGAAAGTGTGCATGATCCCCATCAGGGTCATTCTTAAGGAAAAGCACAGTTTGCAACCACTGCAACAAAATTGTTAGAGGGGCGAGAGACAGCATTAACTGCCTGCCAGGTTTACCTAGAACAGTCACCATCAGATAGAACTTCACCTCGCCTTCACTTTTGCTTTCCAACCTCTGGGCCTTGATGGTGTAAGCATCTAGGCAATGAAATGAGTCATCTCTGAATCCAGAAGAAAGAACTGGTTAATGTACTGGAAGCTCTCTTTGAATCAAGACAACGCTGAAGACTTATAGTTACTGTGGGTCTTCTCTAACCCAAGAGCCACATGTTCTCTTGGGTTTTCATCTGGTGGCAGGAGAAACATCTGAGTAGGGGACAAAAATAATGCTGTGTTTTGATTATTTCCCACACACCATGATGTCAGATATGTTTGGCACACTCTGCTGAATGTATCCTGTATGTCAGGAATTCTAATAGGAGCTTTATGTGCATTTTCTGATTTTGTCCGCAGTCACCAGGCTAAGCTGAGATGTGCACAAGTTGCTGCGCAACTTTTGCCTACTGAAGGCAGAGGTGTGGTCCCAGGAAGCACAGAATATGGAGTCACTTCCTTGGAAAGGAGTGGTCACAAGAGGGTTGCTGTGGGCTGAGTTGTCCCCTGAGGTTGCTGTGCTGCAAGCTTGTTCCCTGCTGTGTGCTGAGCTTGAGTGGTGGAGGGACCTTTAGAAACATGGCCTAGCAGAAGGTAGTTAGGTCATGGGCTACTGCCCAGAA